TCCCAGATCTAAGTTCTGATGACCAATTTGCAAGTGATGAATGGAATATAACCAACCACAGTCTTTTGGTTGGTTGAAATGTTAGGATCTCTTATGGTAATCTGGACGTACCTGTTTGTTTGTGCAATGTAAGCTGAAGCTGAGACTCTATCAGATAAATGTAATGGATATCTCTAAGGTAGAACACCAGGGATCCCATTGTTTCTTTGCAATTCTCCATTATGGATGCTTAGTATATCTTTGAGCAAAAAAGGAAAGCAAAAAGACACTGATATACATGGAATAGTCAAGGCCCTCTTTCATCACCCCCGTCTGACTCAGTGGTTGCTATAGCAATGTGCAAGAATAAAGCACTGAGCAGCAGCACTATGGTTTTCATTACTGATGCAACATTTACCATAACCCCAACACTATCCTCCCCCACGCATCCATACATACACACACACTCACGCAGGCAGAAGGCACTTTCTCACTTTTATCTCTGAGAGTTTTGCGGATTTTGTATGTAGGTCACCTTTTTTTCTGGGAGGAGAGATGGAGAATGAAAAATGCATCTCGCTACAGTAACTGCTGTTGATTGGACAGAACACACACACACACACACACACACACACACACACACACACACACACACACACACACACCCACACACACACACACACACACACACACACACACACACACACACACACACACACACACACACACACACACACACACACACACACGCACACACACACACACTCATATAAACACACTCAGAAAGTGCTCTCATAGCTGATTCTGAGTGGTCATCTCTCTGCTACTGTGTTTCTCTGACCTCAGCCCACATGAAAGAGGTCAGATGTCTTGTCCTCTGGTCCTTTCTTGTTTTGACTGTATCTACATTCGCTTCACCTCCTCCACCCACCTACCTAGCCTTTGACCTACATTCGTCTTTAATGCTTTGGTCTCACTCTGTCTTGCTTTCTCTTCCAAAGCCAAACACAGTGGAGAAAAAAAAAAAAAAAAAAAAAAAACCTACACACATATTAGCCAACACAGCAGGATCTGAGTGAGGTGGAGTCACTGAGTCCACTTGGATCTGTTAGGGTGGAGTTCCAAAATAGAAGCCAAGCTAAGCCTGAGTGAACACTGTTCCAAAACACTGCATGTCGGAGGCTGGAACTGTGGAGAATGTGTGGAAATATCACCTCCTACAGACAGCCACCACCTCTCTCATGTCTGCGCTTTTAAGCTCCACAGTGACCCCTGCAGGGTCCTAAGCAACATTGCAATCATGGTCGGTTATCATTTCACTGTCAGATCAGCTCTGCTGACACCAAGTGGTAAGTCTTATAACAGCTTTAACCCACATCACACATTACATTTCATTCTGTTACATATTACAGTGTGTAGTATGTGTGAAAGTCAGGGCGTAGAAGTTGGACTCAAAGACAAAATATAGAGATTCAAAGATTTGATTTTATTGAACCAGAAGGCCTTAAATTTACATTTTAAATTTCTGTGATTCTTGTTTTTTCCTTCTCTCTCTTTCCTTCTTTTTGTCTACTTACTGTTGAATAAAGACCAGAAAGGCTGTAAAAGCATAAAGAAAAAGGTTTATGCTTTTTCATAAAAGCATAAACCTTTTATGTAAAAGCATAATAGTTTATGGTTTGTCTGAACTTTTTGTTATGGCTGTCATGGTTATGAGACCATGACAGCCATAAATTAACTGAATAGAATATGGATATTATTTGTACTTTTAATTATCTTTACTTAATTGCATCACACACTGCATGAGTGCTGCTCCACTTTTGATATCAAGCGTGTAGGTACAGGCTATAACCTGAGTTAATTAGCACCTTTGTACCTATGTTGTACTAATAATCCTTTGCCATCCATCCATTTTCATTTTGATCTTGAGGATGGTGGTGCAGCAGTCAACAGGCGAGAGGCGGGGTAATACCATATTGATTTTGCAGCTCATCACCTTAACATTTAACAATTGGTTGTCCATGTTTCAACTGGAGCACAGTTAGAGAGGAAATGTTAGTCCTGGTTGTTTTCTGCAGTGTTGACTGCTTGTTTTTTCCCTTCACTTCCTTCCTCTCCTCCCTTCCTCCATCCTCAGCCACCTCCCCACACAAAGTTTGTGCTACTGCCAATATGAGATCTTTATCTTGACTTTCATTTATTTTAATAAATGAAAGTAAAATCTCTTTCTCCCAGAGATTTTACCTAACCCAAACCATTATCAATCCTAATCGCAACCAAATCTTAATTCACACATTACCTATTACCCCTGACTCTAAAGAAGAGGGCTTTAGTCTCCATAAACCCTATCAGTCCTCAGGTAGAAATGGTCCTACAATGGCACCCTCCACTTACACATACACACACACACACACACACACACACACACACACACACACACACACCAACACACACTCCCCCACACACACACACATACCTTCCTGGGCAGTTTGCGGTGATAAAATGCCTCTGCGTCATGGTG